CTACCATCACATTTTATAGATGAGGACACTGGGCTCTGAAAGGTGAGTAATTTGTGACGCAGGCATCCCATGACACAGCTCCAGTTTGCACCGACCAAACATACTCCAAAGCTGACTGTACATCACATTCCAACTCTGTTGTCCTAGCCAGAGTGTCTGGGACCATGTAGGAGTGGATGAAGCCACCATGGAAAGTGGTTGGGATGTCTGGGGCCCTGCCATATTATATATAGCATTAAAGTTATACCACTTAGACCCTTGCTTCCTTTGTCTACACTAGGGCCAGCACAAAAGCCCAGATTAAAAAAAAAAATCAGCATTTATCTTTTTGGTGTATGTATGAATATGGGTAAAGATCATAATGATGCTGAAACTAATAGAATATCAGAGAGAACATTATATCTTAGATTTTTTAAACTTGTTTAAGCTGCTGTTTAAAAAATATGGCAATTCAAACAGATTGAGGCATACACATTAAAAAAAAAAGAGGATCCCTAGGAAAGGTGGGTGGGGGCTGGATGAAAGAGGTAATAGGGGTTTGAGGGTACCCTTATCATGATGAACACTGAGTAATGAATGGAAACGTCGAATCACTGTACTGTACACCTGAAAACTAATATGACACTGTGTATTAATACCGATACTGGTGTTAAAATAAAAATTTAAAAAACTAAAAAAAAAAAAAGATCTTTGAAGGACTGAACAGGAAGATACAATAAAATAGATAAGAAAAAAAACACCAAAAACCCCTCCTCCCAGAAAAACTAGATTGTAAAACAAAATCACTCGAATACAACTTTTGGGCAGTTATCTTTCATTGGTTTTCCTTAGAGACCAGTTCAGTGATTTCACATGGAATATTTAAAAGCTCTCTACATATATCATACTACTAATTTTTAAAAACTACAATGCAAAATGCTTACCATTGCCACAAAATATTGTCTTTTAAAAAGTTTTTCACCATTCATATTTCTCTTCATTCACCCACTCTTACTGAATTAAATAAGTATTTATTTAAACTCCTATACTACTGAATGCCTTAAAGCGATAATCGGGAGAATACAGGCTGGCCTAGAATGAATACATTCCCAAATTTTCCTTTCTGCCACCACCTGTGGTTTACGTGTCATGCCCACAAATAACCACAAGCTTTCATCGTCCCGTGCAGAGGCAGGGAGGAGTGCTCCAGCCGGAGACTGATCTGTGTGGGAGAAGACGCGTGTGTCAAGGCCCACCGAAGGAATCCACTCACGCCTCATACCACACTTGAGAGGGCTGGTTTTGCCTGCCTAAAGCCGGCACAGGAAAGACACCACGAAGCAGTCACGTGGCTGGGGACAGTAGGGATACAAGTCCTACCTTGTGACCCTGGTGGAGTTTTGATCCATTCTTTTCCTGGCTTACAGTCTTAGACTCAGTTTACAATCTGAAGCATTGAGGCATGCCTCAGCTACCCGAATGAGGCCACGGAAAGGTCATTTCTTACCTTCTACTCTTTCTTTTTTAAAAAAAATTTGTTTAATGTTTTATTTATTTCTAGGAGAGAGAGAGAGACAGCGTGAGCAGGGGAGGGTCAGAGAGAGAGGGAGTCACAGACTGAAACAGGCCCCAGGCTCCGAGCTGGCAGTCAGCACAGGGCCCGACGCGGGGCTCGAACCCACGAACCGCGAGATCATGACCTAAGCGAAAGCCGGACGCTTAACCGACTAAGCCACCCAGGCGCCCCTTACCTTCTACTCTTTCAAAGTTTGTGGCTGGATCACAGATTGACCTTCCTCCACTGAGTGAATGAATTGAGAGAGTGGGGGAAGGAAAGGAAGGAGGAAGAAGAAAGGTAAGAAGATGAGGGAAAGTTTGAAAGAAGGAAGGAAGGAAAAAGAAAGTGGCTTGACATTGAAGAGATTGGACCTGCAGTGCCAGGAAATTTGGAAGGCATATTCTCCAGAGCCCTTATTTTATTTCTGGCATTAAATAAAGCCCTTAGGGACAGCTTTTAATTGTATCCGTATATTAAATTATACTCTTTCATACTCTAGTGGTCTGAAAAAGTTAATTTACCATTTGAGTGGTATGAGTGAGGCATAATACTTACACCAAGGCCAGGTACTTTACAATACTCAACATATAGCTTTTTTCTTTCTTTCTTTTTTTTTTGCTTAGGTGTGCTTTATTTTTTATTAGTATCTATGGAAAAGGAAAATAAAATGGTGATGCTCTGTTGGGGATCTCAGGATAGCTCCTCCATAGGGTACCATGTACCGTGAAAGATGCTTTAACATAAGGCCCTGGAGGAAGGAGAGACAGAAAAGAAAAGGGAGGGAAGGAGATGAGGCCAAATCCCTCTCTTCCTGTGCACCTGCCCTTTCTATTGGGGATTCAGTAACTCTCTTTCTCACAGCCTTGGATTTCTCTAACCCCACGCCTGTCCTATCAATGCTTTATGAGCTGTCATGTGGGAGCTAGCATGGGATTCTAAAATTCTGATCATTCTGAAAATTAACAGCTGATTTTTATTCCTCTGGGTATATCAGTCGCGTGGGGCGCTAAAATAATGTGAACTGGTTTTGAGATGAAATGTCACCTGTGGAAGAAAAGTGCATTATAATTTGTTTAACTTAAACAATGCCGAGGGGGGGACGGCCCTCGGAAGTACATTTCATAGGCTAATGAATGTTTATTGGACTTTTGGATACTAGAGAAAGAGGGGAGTGATTACATAGTGATCTTGGAAGAGGAATATAGATCAGTATGAAAACAGCTGTACCCTTTAGTTATTTTGGAGGCAAATATATGAATCACATAAGGTAACTCTGGATGTTGCTCTAAGGGTGCCTTTGTGTTCCAGAAAATGATTGGTGCAGAACCATCGGATTCCACCTCTCCATAAAGAGGAGGTGTGATGAAGGAGAAGAGTGCTGGAGGAGCACAGGCCAAAAACATTTTTTAAATAGATCCAATACAGTAAATGAAAAAATACAGCGAATAAATGGGTACATGGATACAGAAGAAATCAGAATGAAATTTCTAAAGTAGCTCTTGGTGAGCCAAACTTCCAGAAAGGCAACAGAGTAGCCACGTGAGAGAAAGGCTTGTAAATTGTCAAATGCCTGCGTTTACCCACGGTGACTGTTGGCTCTGGTCCCTCCGAGACCCCAGCCATTGGTTGCAGCAAGGGAGGCTAGAATTCAGGGCGTGCATGGGGCTCCGATGCTCCCCAGGGGCGTTCTGGGAGTTTAGAGCTCGCTTCTCTCAGGGCCGCCTACCGGCCCGGCACGTTGGCCACCTCTCGGAGTGCATTCTCTCTGCTCCCCATCTACCTGGCTTACGCCCCAAGGGGGAGGGAAACGGAGAGCCAGGTGCATCCCAGCAGGGGGAGTGGGTGAGCTGGCCCCAGGGCAGCCCGAATGTGTCCTTGAGCGTGGGTGTGGGTGTGGGGTAATTTGGGTGGGAACGAAGTGGAGGCTACCGCCGCCGGGTCCCGCGCCTCGCCGGTGGGGTGTGTGCAGAAAGAGCGAGGATAAATAGGAGGCTCCCTCCTCCCAGCCCCACTCCCGGAGCCGGTCGGGCCGCCAGCCCCGGGTGTTTGCCCGCCCTGCGGCCGGAGTGCCAGCCTGAGGAGTAGTTTCGTTTCCTGCTGGCCCGACAGTAGTTTCCAGGCCCGCCCTCGGGCGCCTGCGGCCCGGATAGGGGCGCGGGAGGAGGCGGGAGACTCGGCCAGGGGCTGCCCGGCCCCTGCAGCTTGGGGTGGATGGACCGGGCCGCCCCGGGCAGCGGCGCCAGCTCCCTGCCACTGCTCCTGGCCCTCGCCCTGGGTAAGTGGCACGCCGGGCACTGGAGCCCCAGGGAGAGTGTGGGGTGGAGAGGCAGGGAGAGAGAGCCCGGATCCGCGCGGGCATCTGGGTCCCAGGGCGCGCTGGGGGCTGCAGCCTAGGGGCCGGTCGGGGAGCCCCGTGACCCTCGGGCTGACGCTGGTCAAGGCTGGGGCACTTGGCTCCTACGGCTGCACCTGTCGTGGGTTTCCCGAGGGTGGAAGGACCCCGTGGGCCCCGCTGCTGGGGCCGCGGACGTGGTCGCAGGTGCCGTCGGGGCCCCGGGGCGCCGTGCGCTGCTGTGCCCTCTCTCGAGTGAGGGAGTGAGGCGTGTGGGAGGGAAGTCCAGCAAAGTAGGAGCAGGAAAGACCGGCCGGAGGAGAACCTTTGGAGGGGAGCGGAGGGGAGGGAACTCCCTGGCTTAAGATGCGGCCCAGAGGAGCAAGCAAGGTGGACGGCAGTTTGGCAGGTGTGTTTGTGCCCTGGGCGTGTGCGAGAGTTAGAGACTTAGAGGGTGACTCCTGGAGAGCCTGGAATGGATTCTCACACCCAGTTGTGGTCAGGGCAGTTGGGAGGGGAGAAAAGGAGACAACTTCTGAGACCTCAGTCTCCAGCTGCTGATAGGGAAATGGCATATTTTACCGAGCACACTAAGAAAGGCAGAGATGTTTTACTTGGAATATATTATTTGCTATTTTAAGAAGAAAGAGGGGAAGGAAAAGTTCATTGAGAAAAGTTAGACTTGGGCTGTTAGGTTCAGGAGCACTGGGTGGGGTCACTGGTGGGGGAGGGTAGTGGGGTGGGGGGAAGGAGCAGGATGCTGGGTCCCCACAAGGCTCTCTTCACTTCCTTGGGAGGCAGTGCTGGAACAGGGTGCCAGGGAAAGTTCATGCAGCCAGATGTGGGGAGGGACCAAGAAGGCATTTAGGTGGGAAAATCCTCCCATATCAAGACATCCCCCCACATCATGGTGGTTTGGGGGAGGCACAGGGAAGGGAGCAGCAATATTTTGTAGACTGAGCTGGGCTGAGGGGTAAGGACACCTGGGCTTGGGGCGTTAATGCGGGAGCGGGGGCGTCTCCACAGCTGAAGTGTCTACATGATCTCAGCCGTTCCTTCAAGCCTGGGAAGGGCTGGATTTCTCACACGGAAGGGAAGAGGTGGAATCTAAATGGACAGTTTCATTTGGCGATGGTCCTTGGAGTAAGAGAGGTGGCTACCAACAAAGGTGTCACGACCTTGGTTGGAAGAGGATCTGACTTAGGGCCATGATTAGAGAGAAGGGACTGGCTTAAGAAACCCAGCAGAGGAAGAAGTTGGTAACAATGCAGTGGGGGCATCATGTGGAGCCTGAAGGGCAGAGAGAGGCCCTGAAGCAGTGCTGATGCTTTGGACAGCATCACTCAGATGAAGCCGGCGTTTCCTTCCTCTCTTCCTCTGCCTTGTCTGCACCCACCAACAAAGTACTGACTGAGAATCTGTTACAGTCAGCAAGACGTTAGAGTATATATGGGGATGGGGTGGGAAGAGGGCTCAAGAGATTCCTAAGACTTGAGTCCTGCCTTAAAGATGTTATGCTGAATTTGGAAATGCAAGACCAACCGGTAGGAAACACTAAGGGAAAACTTCATAAAAGCAGAGATGGGCTGGCTCGCCAGTGAGGGATGGAGCGGGGTGGGGGGGAGCTCTGGTAAAGGGTACCAATGGGGACCTTAATGCATGGGTAACATTTGAAATAGGGAAGAGAGGCCAGTGATAGAGGGTGGGGTGTGAGTCGAGGTGGGGGAGCTGTGGGCCAGAGGACCTGGTTGTCTGACAGGTAAAATCCAGGTGGGAGCGAATGAAGGCCTAGGTGAGGGCGCTGTGCCAGCAGAAACGTTACGGCAGAAGTGGTTATTCCAGGTTAATAGACACACTTCCCCCCTGACTATCACATCGTGCTTTATTGTTTCCTCAAAACTTGTTGTGAGGTAGAAATGAAAAAAAAAAAAAGAAAACAAAACAAAACTCTAACCCGGTGCTGTTGTACCCTCAAGATAACCTGACTTCCAACTGCCCTGTGAATGTTGGGCTTAGAGAACTGAATTCAGGCCCCAGACGCCCTAAGCTCCACTGCTTGCATGATTCTGAAGGATGTAATTTGTTGGCCTCAGTGTTCCCATAACATGCTTCTAGTTCTGTTGCACATGCTTAACTTTTGTGTCTCTTTCTTAATTTAAATCACATGCTCAGTGTTATTTACTTTTTGGAGAAAATGTGAGCAATGCACTGTGTGATGCACTTTGTATGTGTGTGTGTGTGTGTGTGTGTGTGTGTGTGTGTGTGTGACAATGGACAGTGCCTTGAGAACTGTGTGTGTGTGTGTGACAGTGGACAGTGCCTTGAGAACTGTGTGTGTGTATGTATGTGTGTGTGACAGTGGACAGTGCCTTGAGAGCTGACATGAAGCAGACAGAGACCTGGTTCCCGCTGGGTCATCCTGTGACTCTGTGATGTCTATAAATGACAGCTTTCTGGACATTCTTTTTCTCATTTGTGAAATGAAGGGGTTGCTTTAGATGAGCCTACCATCCTTAGGAACCTGATGTTGTACTCATCTTTAACATTTCCACTGGGAAGTTTAAGAGAAATCTCTGTACAACCCCATTTAACTTCCATTTACTTTGTAATGGGATCTTTATTTCACACCAACTTTATAATAACAGAGAGAATCATGGACGCATATATCTTTGCGAAAGAAATTTCTCTGGTAAAAAGGTAATAACTTTGCTTACCATATTTTTTTTAATCTCGAAGAAATCGAACTATCCCTTTTTAAATTCTGTTTTTAAATTTTTTCCTCTCATCCAATTGCTGTATGAGACTAAAACTGAGGGGTGCCTGGGTGACTCAGTTGGTTTAGCGTTCCACTCTTGATTTCTGCTCAAGTCATGATCTCATGGTTCTGTGGGATTGAGCCCTGTGTGTGGCTCTTGGCTCCACGTTATCAGCATGGAGCCTGCTTGGGATTCTCCCAATCCCTCTCTCTCTGCCCATCCCCCAAATAAATAAATAAGTAGATAGATAAATAAACTTAAAAAAATAACTGAAACTGAAATCGTAACCAGTGAAAAGAATAAAAGTGCCTTTTAAAAATTGAGTTTTAAAATTAAAAATAGGTCCCTCTCATTAAAATCAAACACATTAGTATTTGTAAGTTGGTTTAAGTTCTGCTTGAGAATATGAGCATTGATGCCATTTATCTAGCTTCCAAGTTATAAAGCAGGTAGGTGACAGCAAGCAAAATTCTCATGAAGTAAATGAAGTCATCGATGCCCCAGAGGCTGTAAGATTTGGGGCTTTTCCTCTTAAGTTGTACTTGTGGCTCAGAAAAACATTAGGAGTGTTTTTTTCCTCTTCAAAATCGCAGGTTTTGCACATAAACAGCTGTTGCGAATTGATTTTTGCTATTGCTCCATTCTTGGTTGTTGTGTGGAAATTCCCAAATGGTTCTGGAAGATCCCACCGCTGCAGGCCTGCTTTGTTATGCCCCCAGGAGGTGCCCCTGCTGCTGCTGAAGTCAAAGGGCCTGAGGACAGAGAGTTCCTATGTCTGTCCCAGAGTCCCTGCTGACACCACTCACCGCAGGAGCCCCGTGTCCCTCAAGTCCTCAGAGAACCCAGTGCGAGGACCTCATCTCATTTTCCTCTCACTCTTTTACCGTAGTCCGCTCATGCCAGGACATGGACACAAGTATCACTAAAAGGACAGTCAGACGGACAGTCAGAGGCACTGACACCAAGCTGTACCTTGCATCAGCCCTCTGAACCATGCACCTTGCTTGTAAACTTCTCCGTTAAGACTTAGAATCTTCCCAGGGGGGTCCACACAAGCCAGAATACAAGCTGCATGCCGTTGGGCCTAAGCCATGATCCTATATGCTTCCAGAAATGCTATGACAGTTGCCTGGGTCCACAAAGAATCCATAGACTAGTGTGTCAGGGTCAGAAGGGCTCTCAAGTAATATTTATGAGGAAAGCAATCTAAATGGGTATGCTCTGTAATGCCACTAACAGCTAGCTTGCCCAGGCACATTACTATTGTAAAGAAGGAATCTTAGTAGCTCAAATGACTCTGTAATTGCTAAAATTAAAAAAAAAATCAGAGGGCTTTTTAGATGGTTGCAGAGAGAGAAGGGGGATTTCCTCTTATTCAGATCAGTTAGGCAATAGCCTCCTTTGATTATCAGCAAGGTCAACTCAAATAGCCACGAAGTACTTTTACTCATTCCTTACAGTTTTTGAGAATATGTAGCATGCTATTTGCCTGACCTGTAGAGGTGAGGCACTGATTCCAAAACAGTGATGAAAAGTCTAACAGTGTTTGTGTTCGGCCTTTTTAATTAAATGTGCCTGAGTTGGTAGCATAACAGGATGAGTTATTAATATGACATTTCCCTCTTTCCAAAATTATGGATTTACTTATTCATGTTGCCTTATTCACTTTTGGGGGAAGGTGCATAAAGAGTGCCTGGCACATAGTAGGAGCTTAAAACATTAGTTAATTGGATGGATGAATGGAAGTGTCTGTTGGTGACAATGAACTGTCATTGAAAACACAGCAGATTCGGTAAAGTAAACAGTTCTAGTTTTTGTTGGCAAAATATGTGCACAATCCAGGGACGTAGAAAGACTTGTTTCTTCATCTCTTTTTACTTGGGACTTGCTTCCAATACTGCTAGAGACCCTTTCGCAAAAGGACTATTGTTCTGCAAGTAGTAAGTTTACTTCTGTTTCTTACGTGCTGTGCTGAGGGTTCAGAACTGCTACAGATATCTCACATGTGTGCTTCCAGGGCAGATCTCCTCAAAGCAGGAGTTTTAAAAATAAGTGTTTAGGGGCTCCTGGGGGCGCTCAGTAGGTTAAGAGTCTGACTTCGGTTCAGATCACAATTTCACAGTTTGTGAGTTCAAACCCTGAGTCAGGCTCTGGGCTGACAGTATGGAGCCTGCACGGAGCCTGCTTTGGATCCTCTGTCTGCCTCTCCCTCTGTCTCTCAAAAATAAATAAACCTTAAAATAAGTGTTTAGGGCTGCCTGGGGGCTCAGTTGGTTAAGCATCAGACTCCTGATTTCTGCTCAAGTCATGACCCTAAGGATGTGGGACTGAGCTCTGTGTCTGGCTCCGTGCTGAGCATAGAGGTTGCTTAAGATTCTCTCTTTCTGCTGATATCCTCTACTCTCTCTCTCAAATAAATAAATAATGTGTTTAAGGGGGGGGCAGAAGGGCATTGGATTTAGGGCATTGTCCAATGGGTCACTTAAAAATAACCCTTTGAATTCTGTGAGGGGTGAGGTAATTTGCTCTCTCATCTGATTATAACTTTTCCTAACACACATACGTTTCATTAACTGGGAGTAGCCACATTGCTATATTCATGGTTTCTGTTTAGTATTAAATAGAATGAAAACGTTTGGTGGAAACTATAGGAGTTGAGATAGATTTGCTGTGGAGACTGACAGCAGTCTGACTTGTTAGTGTGGAGGAATCCTTATAATCTAACTTTATATATAAATATTTCATAGCCATCACTTGTCTAGAATGACAGACCCATGTCCCCCTGCCTTGAGGGCAATCACATGGTCCAGGCCTTTCTAGAACAAGAGAGGAGAGCCTGATTCTGCCCCCACTCCTGGAAGCCTACTGGGAAGGCCATGAACTTGTCATCAGAGCTGAATGAGGCATTTTTAGGGGATACAGATTTGACTTTTTCATGGCTACTTTCCCCCTGAAATGTCATTCTGTGTTTCTGACACTTGACTGGTCCCGTCTCCCAGGGTGCCTGACACAAAATGATGCTGATGACCAAGCATATACCTGCTTGACCTTTGCGATGGAGTCTCAACATCACCCTTTACATTTTGGGGACCTTTACAATTGAAGAATCATTCTCATGTCATCATCTCATTTGATCTTCACATCAAAACTAATAAGAGAGCAGTTATGTGGTATGCATGTTAGGCACCAGTCCAGAACCTAATAATTCATTTCATCTGTATGACACTATCCATCTAACACACAAACTACACACTACATGTCTATAGGAAGATATGAAGCACAAAGGCATTAAGTAACTGGTCTAAGTTTCTGGCTTTATGAACATGACCTATGGAAGATGAAGTAATAGTGCCTGGAGCCTAGTAGGTAAATACTTGTTGCTGAATG